CCCCTTTTTGCCGCCCATTCCCTTCCCTTTGACGCCCACCTTCCATTTCCGGACTGTTTCCTTTCCTAGCTCATCCCAGTTTGGACACTGTAGATACGTTCCCACAGCCGCATGCTACGTTCCCGTGATCGCCATGCCCTTGCCTTTTCTTTCTCGCCCTTTGTTCTCCCTTTGTCATCTTCACTGCCTCGCTCTCGCGCCTTGTCCTTGGTTGCTAAGCAGCCCCTCTAGTATATAAGGACCCCCCTAGGCGCTCCCTAGTCCCCATCTCGACCTCTTGGTCATTGGGACTAGGTGAGTGACCATAGCGTTGTATCTCTCTTCGATTGCTAATGTATAACTTGGTCATTGGGACTAGTCTGTCGCTGCTTGCGTGAAGACTAGCTTTCGTCGGTCTTGTGCCTTCGTGCCGACCGCCGCTCTGCCCCGTCGAGTTTTCTGATACGTTTATCCCTCTCTCCCTCACTTTCCCCCTTTCGGCTCCTCGCCGCTCGCCTACGGGGTCGTCGCCGAACGTCGACCCGAGTCCACGCGCCTAGTCGCCGCGACAACCGCCTTCTGAATTTCGAGCACCGTCCCCCCGATTTGCTCAACCTTTACATGAACCGACTGGAGTTCATTACTGGATTGCTGACGGGGTTTGAGTGGGAGAGCAGGACGCATCGCTATGGGTGTTCCCTTGCCTGTACATACCCTGGTCCCTCAAGCTCGCAACAAAATGAGCGGCCGACAAGGATTGAGCACGCCTGATCTCCTTCCTCAAACATCGCATCTGTGGGGCGTACCAATCCCCCTAGCACTGTGCGGCGCATGCTCACTGCCATCTGCGGTGCACGATGTCCTGCTCCTTGGACGTGCTTCTCTGCTGGGATAGGCACGACGATTACAGCGCTCACAGGCACATAAACCTTGGCTGCGTGCCTCTCTGACAATCTAGGCGGGACTTCCCAGGTGCAAGCTCAAGGTTGACAGGCAGCTCGATATAGTCTGCCACAACTTGAGCATCTGATATGAATAGGCGTCCCCAATCGACGTGCTTCAGTCTCAGGCAGCCCCCTGTTCTCGACCGCGCCCCCGTGCTCTCGTAGATACTACCAAGACAGAGACAATAGGATGCCAGTCACCTTCAAGGTCGCGAAACACGCAGCGGAGGAGTTCTCATAGAGACATTTTCCCACCAAAAGTACTGGTGCGGAGAGTGTCCTTAAAGTCGCCGCATCCGCACAATGGGAATACTGCCGAGAGCTGCTCCAGACATCCATCGCGCCCGAGGACCTATCAAACCTCTAGCCCGCGCAGGGCAATGGGTTCGTCGAGGCCGTCCTGACAGCTTACAAGAGACATCATCATCTGGTCATCAGTGTTACCGTTGGTACGCCCCACCCCCTATCTTTTTCTATTGGACTACTCCTTCTCGTCGCCCTCGTGTACACTCCACTCCCCCTTCCTGTTCCCGGCGACTTATGTTTACCTTCCTGTTCCCCTGTCGTCCGCCTGTACACTACCACCCCCCATTCCGCCCCCTGACGACTGCATTTCTAGTCCCGGCCCTCTCCCCTAATATTTCCCCTTTCGTCTATATGACCGGACCCTGGGTCCGACCCTGACCCTTTCCCTTTTCGGTTACATTACTTTACCCTGACCCAGACCCCGACCCTTGTCGCGCCCCCTTCCCTTTTTGGTTACATTACCCGACCCTGACCTAGACTCAGGACCCTGTCCTGCCTCTATCCCCTTTTGGTTATATCACAGGACCCTGACCTAGGTCGTGTACTATACCGGGTCCAGCCTCGACCAGACGTGTTCCTTTACAGTCTCCTCATACCTCCCCACTTTGGGCGGTTACCTTTCCCTTCCTAATACGGTCGGTACCCCATAGTATATAAGGAGGCCCGTAGTCGGTAGAGACTCCCCACTTCTGTTCCGTCTTCGTTACCTCTTGTATCCCTATATCCCTCAATCTAGGGACTTGTGCGATACTCTCTCCCCGTGTGCTACACTGTAACGACTAGCTGAAAATGGAATGTGCGGGAATTGCACCACGCACAACCGTTGGACTACCCGTCCCACTTTCCCAGCCCGTTACAGCCACTAAGCACCGTTACCTCGGGTGACTAAGCCGGGTACTGCCGTACTTCTCTGTGATGGTGCGTCATCCGTGACACCACCGTTACATACACCGCGTACTTGGATAAGTCCGCATGATAAGTCTGGATAGACTTGTGTTAGTACTTCAGCGTAACAATCAGGTGCGTCTGCCTCCATCCCCATGTTGCGCACGAAGCGCGCGCGCTGACTCCGGCCGAGCGACAGACCTGACGATGTGTGGATATCCATCCTCAGCCAACTCAACTTCTACGTGAACGCGCATGCAAAAGAGCTCCGCTCGCACTTCGTCGCGCACGGAGGTAAGAAGCACCTCGTCGTCGTCGCGTTCGGCACGCGCTACACGGTCAACTTCGGGAGCCTCGCACGCCAGATGACGCTCCACATCCAGAACAGCGTTGTCGATCCGACGCTCGTCGACTGGATCCTGCCCGACTTTACGACGACGACGGTCAAGGACAAGACGATCTGCGCAGTGCTCTTGATGTCCTCGCTCGAGTCGTGCTTCCACTACGAGATAATGTGCATATGCGGCATCCCCTCGGTCACGCTCGAGGGCGAGCGCGCAGACTGGCAGAAGCTCCTCGACAGGGTGACATCCGACCGTCTGCCTGCTATGGGGGCGGAGCCGGCGGCGTGGGCGCGCATGCTCCAGCCGATCCTGGAGCGCTTCGTCAAGGCGTTCGACGGAGAGCCGGATGTGGAGTTCTGGGGGGACGTCGCCCATGCGCACCCCAAGTTCTACGGGCCAGAAGATATGAGCGGGTGGATCACAGCGTTCTCGGTGTGGAACTGTCAAGGGCGGTGGCAAGGGCGGCCATTGGAGGAGGTCACGAACCCCAGAGAGGTTCCGGATGCTGAGGAGAGGGAGAAGCTGTCACCCAGTACGCCGCCACGGCCAATCCTGGCTGTTCTGCTGCTGATCATTGGATGCTACTTAGGAGAGAAAGACAAACTCGAGCGACGCTACGTGCTGGACGGAATCTCCTACCCCGCGCTCTCGCAGACGCAGATGGCGGAAGGGTTTTGTGAGGTGGACGTACTGCTGGACGACAACGGGCAGCGGTTCGACTGTGTGATGGTCGCAGGCCATGTTGCCATTGCAGTCTCGGGTTCAGCGGAGAGTCGGAGGGACACCCTGAGTCCGTCTCCTGAATGGTTCATCTACATCAAGAATGACAGGATTGATTTGTACTAGCCTAAGTACAGACTTACAAGATATGGAAGTATCTTCCACGCCTGTCCAACCGCAATATACTGTGAGAACGGGATGCTATCGCCCTGAAAGCTCGTACGGGTCCATGAATGAGTACTACGGGCAAGCTTTTTGGAGTAGAAAAAATACGCCGTGGGAACGCGCTCATCTTGGGCAAATCGTGAGGCTTCCAGCGCCTCGCGAAAGGACAACAGACTTCTACTTCAAACACCCAGCACCATAGTACAAAGCGATGATCATCTACTACTACAAATTTCTCAAGACAATCAGCACAGGTCAAGATAAGCAGACTGCGATTTGTGCCTTCGCTTTGGGGATATGATATGAGCTTTCACAGTGGCAGTAAAGGTACTCGTAGTATGAAAGACAGACACGCGATTCAACAGATCACATTTCGCGAGAACTCGCCCGACAACGCGGGTGTATTGAGAATGAGCACCGTACCTCTATTCTCGAGAAAGCCCCGATCGTTAGTAACGCAACCGAGACATAACACGCCAGTATACGTCTTTCCATCCGCGTTCGGCTGGGCCACCGTAGTCATGATCTCATGAGTGCACCTCCCTATCTCCACGAATTCCATCGTAGTCTCGTACTGGAACTCCCGGTCCAAGTACTCCTTGTCCGTCATCCTACCTGCACCATCCAACAGGATGATCAGGAGGACGTCGTCCGGGATCTCGGTGGCAGGACAGTCGGAGAGGTGAGGGTGACGGCTCAGGTTTACGGCGCACAAGACGACGAGGTCAGGAGAGAACGGTCCAGCCCTTTGACAGAGCATGTACGTGCCCCACACCCCGGTACGGCCGGTCTCCTTCCAGACGCGGAACCGCTCCTTCCTCGCGCGGACCGTGGTCCCGGACGCCCTCGAGAACTTCGCGTTGGATATCGTGACCACGCGCAGGGTGACGCCGACAACGGGCTTGGAGTCATAGATGCGAGGAAGGGCGGAGTCTCTATTCGCGGAGACGACGTAACTCCAATCTGTGCCCAGCGTGAACGCGAGAGTGCGGGACGGCATGGCTTCGAAGACGGCCAGGCGCGCCTCCTCCGCTGAGAGGGAGTACGACACCGGAAAGTCCTCCATGTCTAGGATGCCAAGGATCGAGTAGAGCATGTCGACAGCGTACGCCGCTTGTCGGCCTCCGAGCATCCCCAATGAGATCCTGACCTTGTCGGCGCTGGATGTTGTACGACGTCGTGACAGGACGAGGGATGCGATCTTCCTGGAGGAAGGCGTGGTACCTTGTCGCAGCGAATGAATGGTAGTGTACAGGTTTTGGCGCGCAAGGTTCCACTGGAGCTCTGACACCAGACCCAAGTCGGAGTGTCCAATCGCTCGTCGGTGACTTGCACGCGACGCCAGGCCCACGTCAGGGCGTCCTGATGTCTGCCCAATCGCTAGCTTCTGATAGGCAGAGGTGGAGAGCCCGCCAGTCGAGTCCTCGTTCTGCAGGACGCAGGTGGTAACGTGCTCGGAGCTCTGCCAGAGGATACAGGTCGTCCCTTCGATCCGCACAACATCTGCACGATCCACCACCCGAAGATTCAGCGTTAGTTGGAGCTGATAGCTATACGTGTGAGGCTGGGCTTCTAGACGGATGACCTCGTCAGTAATGTCCCCGTCGAAGAGGTAAGAGAAGACGACGGAGTGCGACTGAATCTGCTCCTGGAGTGTCCACGCCCTGGTCTCCCATACAGGAAAGTAAATCTCGGGTGAGGCTAGTGAGGAGAGGAAGCTCGTCCCTGTAGGATACGCGTAGGTGACTGCGGCAGTGCCGTACAGAGTCCCCATCTTGGGAACGAAGAATTCTTTCTCTTCGATGACGTCTTGATTGATGCAGACGATGTCCATCCAGAAGTACTCTTGCAGAGACATCATCACCTGGAAAGCGATCTGCGCAAAGAACCGCTGGCCTTCGACGGCGGAAGCGCCGTCGACGAGACCCCTCTGGACGAGCGCTGAAAAAGTCGCAGAGCCGAGTGCTAGTTTCCTCTCGTAGCTGGCATCCGGGCTGCGAGCATTGCCGTACTCCACGATTCGTGCCCTCCAGTCTGTGATCGCCTTGCTCCATCGGTAGGACACGGCTACGAACTCCTTGTCCTTTAGGCTAGACACTTCGATAACCTTGAGGACGCCCGTCCGCACGTACGTCACCGCATCGACCAGTCTCCATTTAGGCCGACCTCGACGTCGAGCGGATGGCGATGATGACGGCTCCAATACTTCAAGTCATCGGTCAATGCAGCCAAATGAGAGTCGAACAGATGCTCACAGAGATCGCCTAAATGCTCAAGGGTTGCTACGTCGGTTTCGCTTCGTTTGCTATCGTTCGCGGCGGTCTCTTTCAGCGAATCAAGAGGTGCGATCTCGACTGGCGTCGTCTCCACTAGGAGCGAGAAAAGGATGTGGATGTCTGCTTGCGGGCCGACACTCTGCAGGGTCCTGGACAGGTCTGCATATCGATGATCATTCGAGTCCGTTCACAATCATGATAACCCGATAGGTTCTACCTCTTCCCCAATGTGCCTCATTGAGTAACCGGATGTCCTCCTGATGTTCGACAACAACGTCGTATGTCCAGGCAGGTGGTCGAGACCTAGAGATTATCTTCAACGTAACGCTATATTCTAGGAGCGGACTGCAAGCATTTGGTCAGTTCGCGAAAACAGGCCAGGCGGAATATTCACTCACAGAACCAAGGTTTCGTCGCAGTCCGCGGGATCGCCACGCAAGGGCCGCTGCGTCTTCTTTGTGACACCGCCGACGTTGACTTGCACGTAGGTCTCCCTGTCTGAAGGTGCCAGTCCACGCACTCGAAGTACTAGAAGCGGCGAAAAGAGGAGATGAACTGCATGCTTCAGAGTTGATCATGGCCTGCACACCTCTAACTCGAACGCGTTTGCTTCGTGGTCGGAGTCATCAGCGTGGTGTAAACAGCACGATAATGTGAGAAACTCACCAGGTTTCTGTCCGAACCCCAGCTGCAGTATCGACGTTCGGGTCCATGGCCTGCGCTCTTGCGACACTGCTCCGCTTCGGGGCGATACTGGGGCGTTCAAGTGATCAGCTGGGTAGTCGGATAGCAGTGTCTATGCTCGGAACTGATGGTCTGCGTGGGACTGTATCAGAATCAGACGGGTGAGACCAGTTGCGCTTCACTCAGTGCAACTGGTGTAAGCCAAACCCAAGAAAGGGCCCAGCAGTCGAACGAGGACGTCAGCGTCCACGCCGTAGGCACACACCTTTCCACATGGCAGCTAAAGTTCAACGTTCAACGTCAACTCGGACATTTCCGGAGGTTGCGTGCGAACATGCAAAAAAAGCGCTGACTCAGAACAATTGAGCACAATGATTGCAGCGAGCCTGAAGAGATGTCTCCGCGTCGATATAGTTGAGGAGAGGTGCTTTCAAGCTCTTGTTCTGAAGTGACGATGGCGATCACGGTATCAAGTTGACTCGGTTGCATCACCCGGCCCGGGGCAAACGGCAGTGCATCTTGAGGTGTTACACGGTGACCATCGATAGCGAGGGAGTTAGGGAGAATGCATGGATGTGAATGACTAAGATTGACTGAGGAGCCTGCTTCAAGATATCCTAATACTAGCGTGGACGTCAGAAGGCTTCTTCCGACAAGGGAAGTACATCCACACACCCTCAAACTCTCGTTGAGGTACCACTGCGGCTGAATCTCCCACAGGTACTTCATGTCGTCCAAGAGGTCACAGACTTGACCCCATATGTCCTCGTTGATACGAAGCAGTTCGTGATTGCAGACGAAGGTTAAGATACTGTACGATTGCCCCTACACCTGCCTGAGGTGCATCTCGAGGCCAGACTTCTCGAACCATTCGGTAAGATTGAGCCACGTCATCGACACGTCAAGATCTCCCGCCTTCCGCGAGAGGCGGTATTTGCGCAGGTATGCTCCCAGACCAACACGTTCGGCATAGTCGTAGACGCGATTGGGGAGATAGGGTACTCCATACCAGCAGAGGTAGCTTGCGGGGATCATCGACGTCAACGTGAGTGGGACTGAGCCACAAGGGAAGCGAGGGCGTGGGGAGCCTCTTCCGTACGACTCTGCTCTTCATCACGGTGTCAATACATGCCTGGACGCAGAGGAATTCAGTAGCTCACCCCCCTCTCGAATTCGCGCATAGGTAGCTTGACGCTATCTGGAATTTCTTCCCCGTCTGTGTATCCCCGGAATCCATCATCGTCTATGAATTCTTCTTCGTCTGTGCTTTCTTCTTCATGTCGATCTGGTGAGGCGAAGCGAGTCCAGATGCGACATCCTCGAATGGAAGGTTCCGCACAGTGTGTAGAAATGTCTCTGAGAGCTCGAGATGCCGGCCTAGGTTATAATAGTCGGTGTAGTCGGTGAAACAGCTGTAGAAGCTGATGCTGAGACACCTCAGGGGCAGGTGCGCTATGGAGCGGATCAGTATGTCCTGGAATGACCGATTGGTATCAGGCCATAACCGATCCATGAAACACTTACGAAAAATTGGTCCCATTGGACGTTTTTGAGAAAGTCCAAGTCCCCGGGGAACCCTCTCTCGCGACCTCGGGAAGGTGACATCGAGATGAGTAAGTGTCGTCTCCAGCTCAGACGGAAACAACCCATCGAGAACTGATGCACCGCGCTCGAGCTCTATACGCAGAGTGAGCTGGCGAGGGGGGCTGCCGCGAAGGGCAGTGGCGACGTAGTCTTTGGTCAGAGCAAAGCAGTCGATGATCTTCGCGTGGCGTATTGGACACTGGAGGCCGAGAGCGAAGAAGACATGCGCCTCGCAAGAAACATAGTCGAGGCCTACCCAACAGTGGGACTCCTGAGCCCGCCTGTTCTCATCTCGAACGCGGTGCAAGAGGCCGTCATTGAGTCTCCACCATCTGCCGTCGTTCTGATGCTCGAGGGCTAAAGTACGATCTAATGCAGGGAATGCTTGCAAAAGACAAGCAAGTCGCGGAAGGCCTTCGGCGCAGTCGACAATGAAGGACCGAAGCGCCGGATGTTGAGTGACGACTTGGTGAACGCTGTGGTAGTCGTAACCGAAGTCGAGGCAATCCAGGTGGATAATCTCGAGAGGCGATTGCACACCTTGAACCAGCCTGATCGCCTCGTCTTCCCACCCCTCACTCACAACGGAGATTTCCCTCAGGGTAGTGAGCTGGACGATAGCGGGGAGGATTCTTGTGTCAGACATCTTGGATCGGAGAAGATAGCCAGTAGTTTGAAAACTCTCGAGACGATCGACACATGTCAGGATGGCCAGCAGGCGGTCCGCAACATCCCTCGTGTCATACGATGTGCCGATGTCCCAGGTCGCAACCTGAAGAGCGCGTACGTGAGATGCGCGACGCGTCTTGTCGGCGAAGATAAGACTGTGGATGTTGCACATCGAGCGAGCGTCCTTGAGTACGATGGGGCGCACGCTGAGGAAGCGCTGCATTGCTACTGGCCGCAGAGAGGCGCCGGTGCAAGAGAAGGAGAGGATGTCGGATGTATCGGTCAAACGATCACAGATGGCCTGTAGCACGTCCCAGTCGAGTCGAGGTGCACCACAACTGTCCGGCTTGAAGACCGTTGCATTCGATAGGACTACAGACGTAACTTGGAGAATCAGCAGGCGACCGCACAAGTCTTCATCACCGCACAAAGAGAAAGCTTACCGCCTTCCATGTCGTGATATGCACCTACCAACAGGTGGTGAGGGTTAGAACTGTTGGCCACTAGACAGTACTTGCCAGCGTGTAGTCCCAGTGAGAACGTGCATGAATTCAGTCGACTTTAGTTGGGCGCAGTCGTGTCCGGCTGTATGCGCCCGTGCCGGGTCAGTTTAGATTGAGCGCCCTGCGAAAGGACGACGTGCAAGGAAAAGTACATTGTGTGTTCAGACCTCAACTTCTTCAAGCCCTCGGCATCATAATATGTCACGACGCTTTCTGACCCAGAGGTTTGGAGCAGGCTCTCTCACAATCACAACGGCGTGAACCCGTTTGCTGCTTTTCCCAGCAGCATTACCAAGATGACAAGCCCCATGGATGTAGAGCATAGCTCGTTCACTATGTCACCTCGCGCCGAAAACACCAGCACCCGTAGAGAGAGGAGTGAGGGACAGTATAACTGCTAGCGGCGCACAGAGCCCAGAGAGACTGCATGCTGGGGATGTATAGTCGGGATCCCGGTGGAGCCCTAATTAGCCTATACGTGGTTGCTGTACATGCGCTAGGGACCGTCCAATCCTTCAATCAACCACTATTGAATCGCACAGTGGCCTGGCTACATGGGCGGAAGCCCCCGCGCGATTCGCTCCAAGGCTGTGATCGCGTCCTCCCGCGACATGCTATTCAACACCTGCGCGGCGGTGAGTGCCGCGGCCGGTTCCGAGTCGCCCATCGTCGCGTGCACGACCAGGCGCGCGATGACCTCGCCCTGCAACCGAGAAACGGAGGGGAAAGTCAGCAGGAGACTGGCGAGGACAACACAAGTGACCACGCACGACTTCGACGAGACACGCGACCACGATGAGCCTAGTCCGATCGTTGTTCAGCACCCACCCTGGTCAGCTTCGACCACGGTCAAGCAGCGCTCACCAGATGATGATCCACGTTATCCTGTCCATCGCATTGTTATTCAAATGGTCGTGAATCGCGCCGAGCTGGGTAGAGCAGTCAGCCCACGACGCGACACAAACCGGCCCTGTAGCAACAACGCGCTCACCAGATCCTCCGCAACCGCGATCCGCTCGTTCAGCACCTGCACCCTCGGCCCGATCTCCATGTACTCCCGCACCGCGTCGTACAGCGCCTTCAGGCTCGCCTCGTCCCAGAACAGCTCCGGGACGTCGAGCACGTTGCTGACCAGGTTCACGTCCCGCCGCAGCTTGAACAGCTTCCCCGTCAGCTTCAGCGCGTCCTTGCGTTTCAGCGCGAGCACGCCCGTCGACGCGAGCTGCGCGGGGATCGACCGCGTCTGCGGGGACGCGAGGATCCGCGCGGCAAGGGACTCGTAGCGCGCGAGGAGCGTGGACTGCGCGAGCGCGTGCGCGACCGAGAGCTGGAGGAGGTGCGAGTGCGTCTTGAACGTGAAGAAGTCGTTGTAGATCCGTGGGAACGCGATGTTCGGGTCGTGCTGCACGATCGGCGCCGTAAACATCGGTCGAGAGAACGCACACGGGTAGGGGCGAACGTACCGCGTAGTGACACTCCTCCACCTCCCAGTCGTCGCGCGGGATCTTGCGGAGCATGACGCTCGCCGCCTCGACGTCCTCGAGGATCCCCAGCTCCTGGTCCTCCCTGAACCCGAAGAAGACGACCACGCCGTACTCGAAGAAGACCGCCTCCGCGAAATTCTGCGGCTCCTCCGCCGTTGTCCGCCGCCGCCTCGCCGCCCGCGATCGCGTCGACCCCGGGCCGTCTCTGGTCGGCATGGACATTGCGGGCCGTATGTCCTCCGCACTCAATAGGATGGGCTCAGTCTCGGAAACCCGGAGTTGCTCTGAAACGACTTCTTGCGGGGGCACGGGGGTAATGTGCGTGGCCGTTTCGGGCGAGGCGGACGGCATGAAGCCCTCCATGGGCGGCGTCGTCGAGGGCTCGATGGACGTAAAGTACGTGCCTTGATAGCCGTCCTCCTCGACTTCGGAGAGGCCCGAGCTGGGGTCTTCCGCTCCTGGAGAAGAGGCAGGCGCGGACGACCGGATGTTGGACCCTGTGGTGTAGCCTGGCAGAAGGGGCAGGTGGTATATCTATCTCGCCTCAGCTTCCTAATGCGCAATTGGAAGCTAGTGGAAGCACTCACGACGTACATCGCCTCATCATATATGCGAGGCCTCACGTTGTGCTCCCGCTTCAGGAAGCTCGCGAGGAGCTTCATGCGGAAGCCCTCGGCGAGACAGTACGCGGTGATGCGCCTGAACCCCGCCTTCTCCCTCTGCTCCTTGCTCATCCGCTCGCCCGCGCTCTTGTGCTCGCGTACGCCGCGATCGGTCTCGTAGCCATGGAGCTGCTCCTCGTCTGTGTCCGCTTCCGGGGGCGGGGGCTTGGTTTGCGGGGCGGAGGGGAGGACGACGAGCTTCTGGGTGGTCTTAGACGTTCGCTGAGTCTTGGAGGTCCCGGTAACAGGATTGGTGAGCGCGACCCCCGAGACGGAGGGACGACGGGTGAGGGTGCGGGTGCCGCTGGTGGGGGTACGGGATGGCCTTGCTCGGAAGGAGGTTGATGGTGGGAGAGAGGGAGCCCGAGGGGCTGGAGGCGGATTAGACATTTTGCGAAACTATACTCTGTAAATATCCGTTGAGACACATCAGCTCTCAGACTAGTGGTGTAACATAATAGTAGGCACGGCAGGCATCCCATGTTTCCGTGCATAGAAAAGTCGGCGAAAGCGGGAGGCAGGAGGCAACACCCCCACCGATTTACTCGGGTTCTCTGTTCATAAAGACACATCTTTGCGATGGCTCACCTCGTGCCTCTCCTTTTTCATATATTTTTCCCCGGTCGACGACCCCGGAATGCCTGCCGTGAGGACCGCATCTGCGTGCGAATACAGAGGCATCCTCATCATCGACGAGGATATTGTGCACCATCTTCTGTACAGTCCTGTAACAGGCCTATGATTTACTCACAATCTCGCAATGAAACGGTGGCTTGAGAAGTGAGCAGGATTCAGGACCCCGGTGGCTCTTGTTCAGAACGAGTGGCGGGCAGCAGCGAACAACGACGACGACGACCAGACGCTGGTTGACGTCGTGCGTCCCGGCGCTGCGGAGGCGCCCAGTTCAGATCGCTGTCCTCAGATTTTCCGTAGTCGAGTCTGAACTGCATCTTTCTCCTGCTCTGGTATCTCTATGACCATGACTGCCAGGGCTGCAGGAATCAAGAGAAAGACGAAGCCGTCGGCCTCGTCGCTAGCAAAACGTGTTAAGACGAAGCATGTCCTCACAGACGACCTGCCGTGGAAAAAGGTCTCTAAGCCGCGCGAGGCAGACCTTGGGACGGGGATGGATGGGTTCCTCGATTTAGAGGAGGTTCAGGATGTGGATGTTGTATTTGAGGAGACGGAGGCTGGTCGGGTTGTGAAGTTCAAGGTGCGCATGTTCATCACAGCTAGAAGTGCTGCTCGGGCCGACCCATATCTGTCAGGTGCGCGGCGAAGATGATGAAGGGGAAGATGTGCTGGACGCGCACGTCAGCGAAGGAGAGGAGGTCGCGGGACAGTCGTCTGCAGTGACCACGGAGAACATCGACCTCGACGCTCTGCCCGAGCCGATCAAGTTCGACAGTAAGCAGTACTCGTCCAGCCAGCATTGTGTGGTCTCCTGACCCCGTTTCAGCCAAGTCCCTTCTCCCCGAATGGCACTCGTTCAAACTCCATCCTCAACTCGCACGCGCGCTGTATGCGAAGAAGTTCACAACACCGACGCCCATCCAAGCGCAGACACTCCCGCTCGCCCTGAAGAATAAGGACGTAGTCGGTGTGGCAGAAACTGTGCGTTCAGTTGGCTTATATGCGCCCCAAACACTCAGTGTTGACACGGCTATTACGAATAGGGCTCTGGAAAGACGCTGGCGTACGGCCTGCCCATCCTCCATTACCTCCTTACGGAGGCATACTCGCGCCCTATCCCGAGCAACAAAACGAGGCGACCCGTCCGCGCGCTCGTCCTCGCTCCGACGCGTGAACTCGCGCTCCAAGTCTCTTCGCATCTCAACGCATGCCTCTCGTCGATGGATGTCGATGCGGTCGAGAACAAGACAGGTGACGATGAGGTGTCAAAGAAGGGCAAGAACAAGGGGAAAGCCAAGGCCAAGGCCAAAGCTGCCGAAACCCCCGCTCTTGAGAACAAGCCAAAACACCCTCCGCTCGTAAGCGTGGCTGCGGTGGTTGGAGGCATGTCCGCTCAGAAGCAGCGCCGGATCATCTCGCGCGGCGTGGACGTGCTCGTCGCGACGCCCGGTCGTCTGTGGGATATCTTGCAGGAGGTGCGTCCCGACAATTTGTCGACGGCGAGGTCGGGCTGAACGACGGCATGTAGGACGATGAACTAGCGACTCAAATAGAATTCCTGCGGTTCCTCGTGCTTGACGAAGCCGACCGGATGATCGAGACCGGCCACTTTGCTGAGCTGGACAACATTCTGCGTTTGACATTGCGGAAATCAGAGTGAGTTTCATTCCGCCCTCCGTCTCCTCCGCGTTCCTGTGGAATCTCACCGTGTCGCAGCGACGACGTCATTGAGCCCGAGAACAAGATGGACGAAGAAGAGGACACCAAAGACGGCGTCCGCGGGGGCGACCTCCAAACCTTCGTCTTCTCCGCCACGCTCTCTAAGGACCTCCAACAGAATCTCAAACGGCGGGCGCGCCCCAAAGCCCGCCGCAAGGCCGACAAGCCAGCATCGACGCTCGACGACCTCCTCCTCCGGCTCGATTTCCGTGACCCGTCTCCGGCCGTGGTCGACATCGCCCCGGCGTCCCGCGTCCCGGCAGCCCTGACTGAGAGCCGCGTGGACTGCCTCGCAGCGGACAAGGACGCGTACCTGTACTACTTCCTCCTCCGCTACCCCGGCCGCACGCTTGTCTTCCTGTCCGCGATCGACGGCATCCGCCGGCTGCTCCCGCTCCTTGCGCTGCTCGGCGTCCCCGCGTTCCAGCTGCACTCACAGCTCGAACAGCGCCAGCGCCTGAAGAACCTCGACCGGTTCGCGAGCACGCGGAACGCGGTGCTGCTCGCGACGGACGTCGCCGCGCGCGGGCTGGACATCACCGGGGTGGACCATGTCGTGCACTACCAGGCGCCGCGCACCGCGGACGCGTACGTGCACCGGAACGGACGGACGGCACGGGCGATGAGGAGGGGGTTCGCGCTGCTGATGTGCGCGCCGGACGAGAGGCGCGTCGTGCGCGCGCTGATGCGCGGTCTTGGACGGGGTGTGTCCTCTCTATCCTGCAACCCAGTCACTACTTACTGACTAGCGGTGTGTGGCGGACGACGCAGAGGAGGAGGAGCTCGCAGAGATGCCGGTGGAGCTGTACATGCTCGACAAGCTCAAGGCGCGCGTGCAGCTCGCGCGCGAGATCGACAGGCTGCAGCACAAGGCGAAGAAGGAGCGGCACGAGCGCAGCTGGCTCAAGGAGGCCGCGGAGGCGATGGAGATCGAGCTCGACTCCGATCTCGCGAGGTGCGTCACTAGCCCCACGCCTTCTGTCGTCTGTCGTCTGTTGGGACCCCCGCGCTGACGTTTCGCTTCCGTGTTTCCCCGTGCGACATCGACGTTGACGCTCTCGCATTCACAATCACCACTTCACCAATGCTGACGCCAACGCGCGTGCAGCGACTCCGACGAGGACAAGGCGCCGTCAAAGCAGAAGCAAAAGGCCGCGGGAGCGAAGGCGGCGGCGCTCAAGGCGCAACTGAAAGCGATGCTGACGCAGCCGCTCGTCGCGCGCGGGGTATCGACGCGATACATCACGTCGGGCGTGCGCTCGATCGCGGACGACCTGCTCGCCGGTGAATGTGCGTCTTTGTTTCTTTCGCGCTCTGCTCGCGCACTCCAGGGAGGGCCTTCTCCCTTTGACGCCGTCTCGTGTCGCCATGTCCCCCGTGCGACCTGTTCCCCTCTCGCAAAGATGCTGGGAGGAGCAGCCTCCGGGTTCCATGCGCCCCCTTCGTGCAGCTGAGTGCAAGATTCGCATGTGACATCTTACTGACGGACGGCTGTTTCGGCGCACAGACCACGAAACGATGGTGGGGATGAAGAAGGTCGAAGCGGGCTCCGACTTGGTGCCCGCCAAGGCGCGCAAGGCGAAGAAGCGCGCCACCAAGGCAGAAGAGGAAGAATTCGAGGAATGGGGAGGGATTAGCGTTGGTGCCGGTGGGAGCGACGATACGTAGTCACGAGTACTGATAGTATTAATCGCAGTTGCGTTCCTGCGGGCGTGCGTTGCGGGCGAGGTGCTGGCAAGGCGCAGCTTTCAACGAAGCTGTAAGAGGTCGACCTCGAGCTGCCATCGGCGAGAGGAAAGAGTACTGGAGAAACCAGCCTCCCAGATGGTCTTCCACCCGTCCCGACCCCCAGGATGTCGGTCACCGAATGTGATACGCTTCTGGCAGAGCGCCAGGGAATTATATATAACACCGAGAATGCATGTGGTACTATCGCGACCCCAGTGTTCGGACAGACCCTAGTGTTCGGACAAAGGACCATGTCTCCCTCATTTTCCACCCGATAAAGCTGCAAGCTGGCAAATAGGTGCGCGAGTTCATTCCAAACAAGCAGAAAAAAGAACCAAATTTATTCACAGAGTCACTGCGGCGATCTTGCAGGAGGAAGTGGTGCAACTCATCCCTATTCAAACTTGATGAGTCTCGCTCCGAGCTCCTCCTTGGGCGCTTCCTTTCATGTTTCTCAGACGTACTCATACACACCCATGATACCCAGGACTCAATTCTCCGAAGCCTTCACTGGTGCACAAATGGGAGAAACAAGACTTGGCCCTCGAGGGCGTGACAGTGCAGCCACATTTTCACTCTCCGACCTGGTTAGGCTGCTCGGCTAAGGCTCATCAAGTTGGATGACGGACATTCCCGAAGGCCGGCAGGGCTCGGCAAGCGTGACGATTCGTGACCTTCTGCGCAGAGAATCGTCCGAACACTGGGGTCAGCCCTGTATACCCCCCTCTCTAACACTCATTTCTTCTCCAATATATCTCATTTTTGGCATGCAGCATAATTTTATATGTGACTGCTTGCATGCAAAAAATGAATGTTATCGGAGGATAGGAAGGTACATAGATCAAAGGAATCATGCGGTGGGCGCCTTGTCGTCCGAACACTGGTGTTG